CAGACAGGCTATTAGTGGGCTGCCGGCTGGCCCAGCTCAGAGGCAGTACCCAGTCCATTCCAACTTTCCCTGACCTTGAGCTGGGGCAGTCCCAGCCTGCTAGCAGCCCAGCTGGGTGGCCCTGGGGGGTGCTGCCACAGGGGAGGCAAGGGCTGGGGGTCCCCACAGCTCAGGGGCCAATCAGTCTGCCGGCAGCTTGCAGTGGGCAGACTCCGCCAAAAAAAAATAGGTCGGGCCCCTCACCACTTCAGCAGGCACCGCCTCTGATAGCTGCAATGAATCATTGCAAACTCACCTACATCAGGATGCAGTTTAGTTTGCAATGATGGAAACTCATTTAAAATTATACCTCTGTGGCTCGAGATTGTAGGGGGGCTGTTAGGAGGGCTAAGGCAGAGATGGAACTGGGACTAGCGGCCCGGATCAAAGATAACAAGAAGTCCTTTTTTAAATACATAGAGGGTAAAAAGAAGGTGCCAAATAATGTGGGGCCTCTGCAGGACATGCTTGGTAATCTGGTGGTAGCACCAGATGACAAAGCTAACCTCTTTAACAGATTCTTTGCTTCCATTTTTCTGAGCAGGGACTACAACTAGATCTTGACAGGTTACAGAGGTGGGCGGATGAGAACAGGATGAGTTTCAATATGAACAAGTGCAAGGTGTTGCACCTGGGGAGGAAGAACCAGCAGCATACCTACAGGCTGGGGAACTCCCTTCTTGTCAGCACAGAGGCAGAAAGGGATCTTGGAGTCATTATTGATGCCAAAATGAACATGGGCCGGGACACGGTCAGGAAGGCTAACTTCGCCTTGTCGTGCATCCACAGATGCATCACAAGCAGGTCCAAGGAGGTGATCCTCCCCCTCTATGCGACATTGGTCAGGCTGCAGTTGAAGTACTGCGTCCAGTTCTGGGCGCCACACTTCAGGAAGGATGTGGACAGCATCAAGAGGGTCTGGATGAGGGCCAATCATATGAACAGGGGTCAGTAGGGCAGGCCCTACGAGGAGAGGCTACGGGACCTGAACCTTTTCAGCCTCCACAAGAGAAGGCTGAGAGGGGATCTGGTGGCCACCTATAAACTGGCCAAGGGGGACCAGCAGGCAATGGGAGAGACCCTGTTCCCCCGACCACTACCGGGGGTAACAAGGAACAACGGCCATAATTTGACTGAGTGTAGATTCAGGCTGGATATCAGGAAGCACTATTTCACTGTCAGGACAACTAGGAGCTGAAACCGTCTTCCAAGGGAAGTGGTGCTCGCCCCTACCCTGGGGGTCTTCAAAAGGAGGATAGACAGCCACCTATCTGGGGTCATTTGACCACAGCATCCTTTCCTACCCATGGCAGGGGGTCAGACTAGATGATCTGCTTAGGTCCTTTCCGACACTACCAACTATGAAACTATGAAAACCCCCAAAACTCCTGCATGTGTACAGCATGACACCATTAAGCCATACAAAGTGACATTTTCATCACGTGTACATGGTAATGCATCACGTGTACAAGCACCCTAACAAGTTAATTATACATTAAAATATGTTTTTCTTTCAATGCTTATCTTTTTCCCTTCTACACTCTCTCTGAGTTCTCTTTGTTCTTGTGTTATGAAAAATAGCAAATAAGGGTACTTATTAGTTCTGTATCTTTAAACTGGGCACTGAACAATACAGCCAAACCAGGTATCTTTGATCTACCTTTCTGATGTCAAGGGAAGGTGATGTACAAGGCACTGGCCTACTTTGTAAAAGTCAGAGCCAAAATCTTGGGTCCATTAGTAGAATTAGTGTATTTAGTCCATTTCTAAGCTACAGTAGAAGCATAAAACTACAGTGTTGGTAAAATAGCCTGTATCATTTTCTGTCTCTAAAGAGTAAAATAATGCTATAACAGTGGGAAATAATTATCCGTGATGCAATAAAGCCTCGTTGACTTTTAATTCCCATCTTTCCTTTCAATATATGCATGCAATTTGATTTTCCAAATCAGCAGAATAAAAGAGGGTTTATCTTAACTGCCATCTAATTTTAAAGCTATGCTTAGATGAACATAACATTGTTTTAGTACCCTGGTATGCATCAGCAGGACTCTCAATAAAGGCCTCCAGGCATTTGGAGTCAAATTCTCTTCTCATTGACACTATAGCAAACTCCCTTGACTTTAAATTAATTGAAGAGAGAATTTAGCCCTTTAAGTGTAAATCCAGTTTATGAAAGGTTGTTAAATCTGACAATATGAATTCACTTTAGGAGGAAACACATTAGATGTTATTTCAACCCAATATGAACTATTTATATGATTGCCTTTATTTCTTTGTGTTTTATGGCTTATTTTACAAAATTTCATTTTAATGTGGTTAGCTACTGTTAAACGGTTGTGGTTACAGCACAGCAAGGAGACACATTTCTGGCTCCTTTCTCTTGTCCTGTTCTGGCAAAGTGATTGCTGCTTGCAGAGTAAGCTCAGAAACAGTGGGAAGTGGTTGAAAGAGTGGCTTATTCCCAGAGAACAGAATCAGATATTAGACTAGAGTTTTCACTCTGTTTTTAGCTGAACATTACCTGGATTTGGGGATTGCATCAAAGCACCCCATAAAGCTCTGACTCTGTAAACACAAATGGGACTGCTCATGTCCAAGCAACACCTACAGAGCCCATACCTTAGGATCGGTGAGCTCAGTGGGAGCATTTTTGGATATGGATACATGATGTATATGTATGTCACTATTTTTACACCAGCATAAATGTGGAGAGGATATACAACATGCAGCCCCATACAGGTTTTGGTCTCTTTAATCTGAGGTAAAGATGAACCTCAAAAAATCCAGAGTAATAAGACTTCAGGGTCAGTTAGACTCGTGTACTACCTAGGTGTGAATAGTTCAAGCCATCTTCAATCTGGGGTAGCCTTTTGCTCAGCGAAAACAGGCATTTATTCAACTCCTCCACCACCTAGTTATGAGGCATCATGAAGTGTTGACTAGAGGCAACCAGCTTTGGAGAGCTGGTCATCTGTTTTTTTCTGGGCACCAGAGTAGCTTACATCAGTGTACAAACCTATGTAAAGTTACATTGGTGTTAATAGGCCACATTTCTGCACCCTGGGCTGATTTCTATGGGTGGAAGATGCATTTCCTACAATTTACAATGTTTTTGTGTGTACCTGGTCAGATACAGAAACATAAGAACAGTGTTTTCAGACCCTTAAAACCTCTCTAGCCTTCATTATAAAGGGCCAAAGAGGGCTCCTAAATATTCTTGGTAGTTATCAATTTTTTTTCAGTAAGGGGTTACATGACAAGCTGAGTTTCATCTAAAAAAGCTGGTACATTTCTAGCCCTCCTGGTTACAGTGAAAAGATTTAAAATGTGATCTGATGGACCACAAAGACTCAGAAAGCAGAAGGCAGACAAAGGAGCCAAAATATATCTTTAAAAAAAACCCTCATGATTTTTAAGGTAATGTCAGAGATTTTACATTTTGATTTTTTTTTAGGCCAGATGTGATCTTTTGAATGTTTGGGATTGGCAAAACTACACATTCCTCCTTCTGGTCACAGTTTTTGCTAAGGGAGAAATTCACCCAGTCTTGCCCTGTAGGATTTCCCAAATATTATAGAACACAGTGAATGGAAGGAGAGATCAGAGGGGTCTATTTGTAAGAACAAATGAAAAAATTGCAGTGGGAGACCTCAGCTGCTTCACAATAGCTGTCCATGTAGTTGTTTTTACCCTGTACTAACTGAAAGATGACCCATGATAGCTTGGTCTTGTTTCCTGACCCAGGGTAAGAGCAAGCATATGAACAGTTATTGCAGAATAGTGAGCATGTTATAAATCCCCTTCCAACTTATTGTAAGTTTCTTTATATCTTAAGTTACTTTTTGTCACAGCCGCTGAATGCTTTTTTAATGGAGAGCTTTCTGTTTATCTTGTTTATTCTGTACTCAATTAACTCACTGTTAATAGCAGGCAGAACACATTTCTGATAAAAGGAGTATGTTGGGGGATTTATTGCTTGGAAAGAACAAAAGGATCAAGAGCAGCTCCTAAGGACTGATACCAATCTTACATGTAATAGTGTAATTGACCACATATTTACCCTTGTTTAATACAATTTGGACAGGCCTGGTGTAGCTCATTTGACAGACTGTATATGGTAGGGTAATTGCATTGAAGAGACTAAATGTAAGTCAGAGCTGGGAAGTAATGAATACAGAACAGTTAATTACTCTGTAAGCAAACACATTAAAGCCTGCCAGGAATGTGAAGGTGAACATCAGGTTATTCAG